AAAAATAAATAAATTAAATAAAGGTATTGTATCCAACTAAATAAATAGATAGATAACAATGAAGGAAAAGAATATTTGGAAAGCAAAGTAATTTCAAGGCAACTTTTCTAAATTTAGTGACATATGAAAAATCAGATAATTTGAAATAATAAACAAACCTTCAAGTTAAGGACTAAAAGCACAAGAAACCACCTCTATAGGAGAAAGGGCAGATAGATGTCTACTTTCCTAATGTGGATGCACAGTGACTAAGGGCATGTATTTGAAATTTATAAAATAGGAACTAAACCTAATTACCCAAAGTGGATTCAAGGAAATAGTAAATAAAGAATTGAAATAGGTTCTTTTATGCTACTAAGTCAAAGAAACAAATCTTGAAAATATTTCTCTTAAACAAATTATACTGTTCAATTATGTAGCTCTTAGAATTATAGAAAGTTAGAATCAGGAGGATATCGAGTAATCTCATCCTATCAGTCTTGTCCATGGACCAGAGGCCTCAACATCACCTGAGAATCAGAAGAAATGTAGAATCTCAGGCCCCAACATGGACCTACTAAACTAGAATCCATACTTCCAGGTATGGTGGCATATACCTATAATTCCAGCTGCTCAGGAGGCTGAGGCAAGATGATTACAAGTCCAGGGCCAACCTAGGAAACTTAGTCAGACCCTGTCTCAAAATCAAAAACATAAAGGGAGAAGGATATAACTCAGTGGTAGACTTAAGACTTAAAATCAGGTCTTCTATCTCCAGAGTCCAAGGATCTTTCAAGTTGCCTCTCACTTACAGTTGTCCCTCAATATCTATAAGGGATTGGTTCCAGGTCTCCCATGGCAGCTAAGATCCAAGGAAGTTCAAATTTCTTATATAGAGCTGGGCACAATGGTGCATGCCTCTAATCCCAGCTGCTTCAGAGGCTGAGGCAGGAGGACAAAAGTTTAAGCCAGCCTCAGCAACTTAGTGAGAGTCTAAGCAACTTAGTGAGATCCTGTCTCAAAAAAATATAAAAAAAGAGGACTAGGATATGGTTCACCGGTTAAGTGCCCCTGGGTTCAATCCCCCGGACCAAAAAACTGAAATAAAGAATCCCTTATATAGGGCTGGGGTTGTGGCTCAGCAGTAGAGCGCTCACCTAGCATGTGCAAGGCCCTGGGTTCAATCCTCAGCACCACATAAAAGTAAATAAATAAAATAAAGGTATTGTGTCCAACTACAACTAAAACAACAATATTTTAAAAAATAAAAAAAAACTGCATAGTATTTGCATATAACCT